GTCCAGTCTCCCGGGCACTCATCTTCATGCCTCCGGCCTCACACTGAATTCCGTATGATCGCAGGCACACAGCAGGCTTTTCCATGTCTCCATGTCTTTCCTCCTTTCCAAAGAGGCTCTCCTTTTTGACTCAATGTCCATCCTCCTTCCTTCTCTTCCTTTCCCCTCCCTGCGCCTCCCCCTTCTCCTCCCTCCCTCCATTCCTTCCTTCCTTCTTCTTGACTAAAGCTCACTTGTGCTTGAAGACTCATTTAAAGGATCACTTCCTTCAGAACGCCTCCCTGACTCTCCAGGCTGGCTCACTGCCCTCCTCATGTTCCCACAGCATTCTGCCCCCGTACGTTCACTTCCTGTAGTAAAAGTGCGTATTTGTGCAGCTGTCATCCCCCTGCTGGATTGTACCTTTGGGGGCAAAGCCTGTGTCTTACTGTTCATTTTGCCCATTGACATCTAGTACCAAGCCTGGCAAGCCATTGCCTTTAGTGAATTTTGTCAAACTGAACTGATGAGAAGGAGAATATTCAGGTGGGAGGTCCCCTCAGGCAGCAGGGACAACCCCAAAAGCCTGGAGACCAGGCAGCTTTGCCAAATGGTCAGTCTGTCCTGTCAGGGTGGATGGGTCTGTGCTATTGCTTCTAAATCTACAGAAAATTAGAAGCTGACGAGGAGCCATGGACATTCTGCAACAAAGTTGGACATCTGAGTAAAATGGAATGGTTAAAGCCATAAATTTTATGTCATCTCTGTGTGAGTTCCGGACCTCCTACTTCCTTGCTTTATATTTTGATTAAATGACTTAATTAAGACTTAGTTTCCCAAAATGGAAAACAGGGATAAAAATAGTACTAATCTCATAGGATCGTTATGAAAATTAAGTGAGGAAGTGTTTAGCGTTACACACACACTAAGGACTTATGTGTGTTAGTGACTGTTATTAACATCTTCATTATTTGGGGTGATATTGGCGTTCTCAAGCCGAGTCATATCCCTGAATACGCATTAGGGCTGATTAAGAACCACGGAAGATCATTTGGGTCTTTAAGGAGCTGCGGTGGACCTCCAGTAGGTTGGGATCTGCCTCCGATGTGTCCGGGGCCAGGGGTAACAGCACAGAAAAGTGACCATTGGCCAGGTCATCCACAGTGTCCACGTTCCTCCTAACCATCTCGGGCAGAAACCATTGCCTGGCAGGGCCAGAAGGAACAATTGGGAATTCACAGGCCATTTTCCACCTTCAATTCCAAGGACTTAAGTACCTCCTAGTCGCCTTCCTGCCTTATTTTCTTTCATCTTTTCCTTCCGTTCATTCATTTTCTGTCTTTTTAAAGTCGGCCCCGATTCTGACCACATGACAGCATATTCCCTACAGAAACCCATTGCCACAGATGTTTGCAAGACCTAGGAGAGCAGGGGCGCCTGGGTGGCTCAGTGGGTTAAGCCTCTGCCTTTGGCTCAGGTCATGATCCCAGGGTGCTGGGATCGAGCCCTGCATCGGGCTCTCTGCTCAGCGGGGAGCCTGCTTCCTCCTCTCTCTCTGCCTGCCTCTCTGCCTACTTGTGATCTCTCTGTCCAATAAATAAATAAAATCTTAAAAAAAATGACCTAGGAGAGCAAAGACACACGATCTTCCTAATTCTCGTGCTGCGTAAGATGAGTGGGGGTCCTTGTCTTCTGTTGGTTGGGACGACTCTACTGTCTATGTGTTCCATGTCCGTTGACCGCAGAAAGCCAGCTCTCTTCCCTAACCTGTGGATGGCCCACCCCCTTCAGGATGGCCGGCCCATGCAGCTGCCACCTCCCATCACCAGGCGGGCTCTTGATCACAGAGCTGCTCCAGCTGTGCCCACCTTCTGTCTCCTCCTGCATGGAGCTTATCAGAATCCACAAAATGGAGGGTTTGCAGAGGTCAAGGCAGGGTGCCAAGATCCTTCTCTGTCCACAATTCTCTGGGGCTTGTGAGTGCCAAACCTGTGTGTGTGCGGGGGGGGTGGTTCTCTGTGTACATCACAGATTATGAGAGACTTTTCAGCCTCTGACATGGATACCAAACAGTTTCAGCCGCCCCCCTCTTCCGCCGTCAGCCTCATAACCTCTTCTGAGTGAGGTCCAAGCCCCGAGCACGTGCTGTGATGATGCCCGGTACCTGGACTAAGGGGAAGGCGGCCTCAGCACTTGGCTGCCGTTCTGGGGAATATGAAACCAAGTTAATCCACGGAGCTCTTTGGAAGGGAGGCCTTCATGATTACAGTATGCACCCGGGCGCACAGTGTCCTGAGGGGAATTTCTCTTTGAGTACCAGCCTTGGGGATTTTGAGAGGTCATACATAGCCTCTGAAATCTCGTCAGGATTTGTCTGTGAGATCTATTTTTTCCTGAAGCAAATGGCTGTAATTCGGGTCATAAAGTGGCTTTAAAGAAGGCCGATGTCTGAGTGTATTACTCAGCTCAGGCGGCCGTAATAATGCCATAGACTAGGCAGCTTAAACAATAGAAATTTATTTTCTCACAGTTCTGGAGGCTGCAGTGTCCAAGATCAAGGTGCTGGCCAATTCGTTTTCTGGTGAGAGCTCTCTTCCTCACTTGCCAATGGCTGCTTTCTCACCCTGTGGTGGGGGAGAGAGTGCTCTCTCTTTTCCTCTTCTTGTAAAGCCATCAATCCTATCAGAGTAGGACCAATTCTTATACACTCATTTAACTTTAACTATCTCCTGAAAGCCCTGTCTCCCAATATAGTCACACTGGAGCCTAAGGTTTCAACATATGAGTTGGGGGGAGGGGACACAATTCAGCTGATGGCACCAAAGAAGCTTCCTTAGTGGCTGTATTTATTTGTTCCAAAAACATACCATTTACTGAGCACTTACTAACTGACTACTTAAGATACCAAATACAGGATACAGAATAAACATAGTCTTTGCCTTGATTTCATTCAGAGTTTAATGGCTGAGCTAGACATTAATTATATAATCCCATAAATATCTAATTTCAAAGTTTTAAAACTGCTATGAAGGAAAGTTGAGTGTGATGAGAGGACATAACAGAGAAAGTTGACCGTCTTAAGGAGTGAGGATAATTTTTTCTGGGACAGTGACACTTAAGCTGAGATCTAAAGCATTGTTAAGGGTGTGGGTACCAAGGAGAAACACTCATTTCAGGCACATGTGGTTGGTGCTGTGTGCAAAGGTCCTCAGGTAGAAAATAACTTGGTTATCTCCAGGGCCTGATATGAAGCCACTGTTGCTGAAATATGGTAGGAAGGAGAGGGGCAGAAGATGAAAGAGGAGAGGAGACCTTGTAGGTTACAGTAAAGAGTCTTTGTATTAAGAATAAAAGGAATTGGGGCGCCTGGGTGGCTCAGTTGGTTTAACATCTGCCTTCAGCTCAGGACATGATCCCAGGGTGCTGGGATCCAGCCCCACATTGGGCTCCTTGCTCATCGGCGAGCCTCCTTCTCCCTCTCCCTCTGCCTGCCTCTCCCTCTGCCTATACTCTCTCTCTCTGTGTCAAATAAATGAATAAAATCGTAAAAAAAAAAGGGATAAGAGGAATCTACTGCAGGGCTTCAAATAGGGACGTGACAGTATAGGTCTGGGGTTTTTAGAAAAGGTGACTGTTGCTGTATAAGGAAATGAAGTGGGGAAGGGTGAGAATCGGAGTGGGGAGTTCAGTGAGGAGGTCACTGCAGTAGTTTCACTAAGTGAGGGGTGATGGCGGCTTTGATGGCGGTGCTTGTAGAGATGAGGGGAGAGTCTGGGTGCTGAGTAGACAAGGGACAGGAGTGAAAGGGAGGGCTGCAGATGAACAACACTCATTGCCCAGCACACATAACCCAGCAGATGGAGGTGCTATTTTCTGAGATGGGAAGCAGTGGAGACAGGGGACAGGGCCTGAAACCCTGTAAGGTGCTATGCAGATGAAATTAGCATGCTTCTGTTACTCAAGGAACCCCGCAGGGCTATAGCAGAGGTGGTAATGGGCAAATAGCTTTTTGTTTTTTAAAGCTATGGCACGGTTATGGGCATCCTCATTGCATCTGAATGAGGTAGTGATTGGAAAGATGAATCCATAGTTTCTGCTGAATTTCTTCCCATTCTCCTGAATTCATGCTCACCTCTTAGTGGTCCCAGCCAGCAGGTGGGGCTGCATTTCACCCCCAAATCTTGTCTTGAGTTTTAAAAAAATGCATTCGAGAGCCACTTGCATGTTTTATTAATAGTGATTTCTATCACTTGGCCCTTTCAGTGTCTGGGTTTGGAATTCGAGTGGCTGGATGATTTTCATCTTCCTGTAACTGAGTGTCTCAATAGTCCCATAAGAATGTTTTGCTAGCGGGCTAAAGAGGCTGTGAACTGGGGCTTGAGCACAGCTTATGGGGGCCTTGGCTTAGCTATCCTGCAGGGAGCATCCGCGACGCTGTCTGTCCTCTTGATTTCCCAAGAAATGTCAGAATTAGAGCTTGCCTGTAGAAGTTTTGCATTCGGGGAAGGAGTTTTTCCTAAGTGGGCTCAATTGCATGCAGAGTGATGTGTTCTATTTCCGGGGGAGTAACCCATGAGAAAAGTTCAGCTCCATCTGTACTCTTCTGGCACACGTATGTCATGCAGAATTCTTGAGTATGACAACAGCGTGGGGGAAGAAGCCCCCAAACCTAGAAACACTACAAGGAATGAAGATTCGGGTCATGCTTGGCCTATTTTCAGTTGATTCTTGAGAACTCTTGCGGATAACAGCGGGATTTGGAAGGGTATCACTTATGTTTTCATTACCAACATTCCCAGCTCTTTTAAGCCATTCTTCAGCTGAGTCTCCACCAGATGGTCCTGCGGACAGAGTCGCTCTTTGTGCCTCCCATTGACATCATTTTTTCCGAGTGAGAGACCGCCCCATGTGTTAGTGCCGTATGTCGCTCAAGGTGAAACACCAATTTGTATTGGTGGGAACCTGCCATTTGCTGTCCCCCTTTTTCTCATGCCTTTCCCTGCCTCTCTGGTCTTTTCTAGGTCTCTGGCCTGTCAGGAGGACCCTTGGCGCTGCAGTGGAAGCCAGCGGCTAAATCTCGTGTATGGCGTGGTTAAGGTTGCAGCCTCTCACCTCCGCCTTCCTCCATTTTGGGCTGATTACTTTTGTGCTCTTCCTGAATGGTCTTCGGGCAGAGGCTGGTGGCTCAGGGGAGGTGCCCAGCACAGGGCAGAACAATGAGTCCTGTTCCGAGTCCTCGGACTGCAAGGAGGGTGTCATCCTGCCAATCTGGTATCCGGAGAACCCTTCCCTTGGGGACAAGATTGCCAGGGTCATCGTCTACTTTGTGGCCCTGATATACATGTTCCTTGGGGTGTCCATCATTGCCGACCGCTTTATGGCGTCTATCGAAGTCATCACTTCTCAAGAGAGAGAGGTGACTATCGAAAAGCCCAATGGAGAGACCAGCACCACGACGATTCGGATCTGGAATGAAACGGTCTCCAACCTGACCCTGATGGCCTTGGGTTCCTCTGCTCCTGAGATCCTTCTCTCTTTAATTGAGGTGTGTGGCCATGGGTTCATTGCTGGCGATCTGGGACCTTCTACCATCGTGGGCAGTGCAGCCTTTAACATGTTCATCATCATTGGCATCTGCGTCTACGTGATCCCCGATGGAGAGACTCGCAAGATCAAGCACCTGCGAGTCTTCCTCATCACTGCTGCTTGGAGCATCTTCGCCTACATCTGGCTCTATATGATCCTGGCAGTCTTCTCCCCTGGTGTGGTTCAGGTTTGGGAAGGCCTCCTCACTCTCTCCTTCTTCCCCGTGTGTGTCCTTCTGGCCTGGGTGGCAGATAGGAGACTGCTCTTCTACAAATACATGCACAAAAAGTATCGCACAGACAAACACCGAGCAATTATCATAGAGACAGAGGGTGACCACCCCAAGGGCATTGAGATGGACGGAAAAATGATGAATTCCCACTTCCTGGACGGGAACCTGGTGCCCGTGGAAGGGAAGGAAGTAGATGAGTCCCGCAGGGAGATGATCCGGATTCTCAAGGATCTGAAGCAGAAACACCCAGAGAAGGACTTAGATCAGCTGGTAGAGATGGCCAATTACTATGCTCTTTCCCATCAACAGAAGAGTCGTGCCTTCTACCGGATCCAAGCTACCCGTATGATGACCGGCGCAGGCAATGTCCTGAAGAAGCATGCGGCAGAACAAGCCAAGAAGGCCTCCAGCATCAATGAGGTGCACACCAATGAGCCTGAGGACTTTGTCTCGAAGGTCTTCTTTGACCCGTGCTCTTACCAGTGCCTGGAGAACTGCGGGGCCGTCCTCCTGACGGTGGTGAGGAAAGGCGGGGACATGTCCAAGACCGTGTACGTGGACTACAAAACAGAGGATGGTTCTGCCAATGCCGGGGCGGACTATGAGTTCACAGAGGGCACTGTGGTTCTGAAGCCAGGAGAGACCCAGAAGGAGTTCTCGGTGGGCATCATCGACGATGACATCTTTGAGGAGGATGAACACTTTTTTGTGAGGTTGAGCAACGTCCGCATAGAGGAGGAGCAGCTGGAGGAGGCGATCACTCCGATAGTCCTCAATAATATTCCATTGCCCCGGGCCATCCTGGTATCCCCTTATGTGGCCACAGTCACCATCTTGGATGATGACCATGCAGGCATCTTCACGTTTGAATGTGACACTATTCATGTCAGCGAGAGTATCGGTGTCCTGGAGGTCAAGGTTCTGCGGACATCAGGTGCCCGGGGCACGGTAATCGTCCCCTTTAGGACAGTAGAGGGGACAGCCAAGGGTGGTGGTGAGGATTTTGAAGACTCGTACGGGGAGCTGGAGTTCAAGAATGATGAAACAGTGTAAGTAATCTTTCCATATTCTAGTCCCCTCCATCCCTTGCCATCTCTTTCTGTCCTTACAGTTCTTCCTCATACCGAGTCAACGTCAAACTTGGGTCCCAGCACAGGTGTGCAGGATTTTTCAGTAGGCACCCCCGGCAGGGTCCATTTCCAGACCTTCCTTCGGCTTTCTCACTTTAAATGGTCTCTGGGCAGGGAATTCCCTGGCAGGATCGAAGGATGCAAAACAATCCGTCCACTGGAACTCAGAATGATATGGCCAGTGGAGATGTGGGGTGACAGAAGTTTTGATGTCAGATTTTGGAGAATTCTTGTGGCTAAGCAGGAGCTAGGAGGCCCGTTGGTTCTCTCCTTCCTCCCCCCCACACACCAGAGGCTCATGTGAGCCTTGAGGCTGAGCCTTTCCATCCTGAGACAGAGCCAGCCCAACCAGGGCATCCTTGGGGAAGCAAGTGGCACTGGGTTTTTTCCCCCCAGGGCCATCTTGAGGTTGTATTGTATAACCAGATTTCAGGCATCTCTCCTTCAATTTGGAAATTGCAAGGTTGGTTGAAACTTGGCAATCTCTGTAAATGCCGGTAGGCTGTTTTACGGTATGAGACTTGCCCAGGCTAGGTGAGATGAGTCAGTATGGCTTGGGTATGGGACACATCTTGCAGAAGCAGAACTCCCAGAGCAGTGGCCACCTGTCTTTGGTCCCAGGTGTGAGCTCTAGAATCTGACTAAGGAACATAGCAGGCACCTCTCGGGAATTGCGGGAGAAAATACACCTTTGGTGTGGTCATCCCTTTTCACGGTCTAGAATTCTCCCAGAAGACTTCTCAGGTTCATGGCCCATTTCGCCCTTCAGACATGGTGTGTGTTGCACTTCCATGACCTCGATCATTGTAAGAGCGCTCCCCAATGAACCTTCCTGTACTAGGTGTTCTGGGATTCGTTTTGTTTTGTTTTGTTTTCGTTTTTCTCAGATGGATAGCTTTGAAGAAGAAACAGAATGACTTTCCCCAGAATTTGCAGCTTACGGGAAGCCAGACTTTCCAGGGTGGCCAAGGGGAGGGCGGGAACTTGTCTCTGAATTCCTGCTCATATCCACAAGCAAGAAGCCATCACAGGAGGGGGCGTGAAGGACAAAAGGGGCATCTAGGAAGGGGGAATGTCAAACTGCTCCAAGAGCCTGCTAAAGACACTGGGAGTGGGAAATGAAAACATACAACTTGGAGAGTGAAGAATGGAACACACAGAGAGGGGAGCCCCTAGGGCTGAGGGGGAGGGGTCTCAGAAGCGCTTCCTCCAGGTCCAGGCAGGGGGCAGGGCTCCCAAGGGGTTGGAAGGTGCTGACAGTAGAGCGGAGTGACCCCCCCGCCCCCGCCCCAGGGACTGTGCTCCTGTCCTCCCTCAGTCCCTTCCTGATAACGTGACTCTGGGCAAGACATTTAGCCTTGGCTTGAGAACTAAACTGTCTCATCTGCAAAGTCAGAACAACCATACTTTCCTTGCCTGGAGGCAGGGTCGGATCTTTTTGTGGATCCCACCCAGCTCTAGGATTTTCTGTACCATAGACATGGGCACCCAGCGTAGGTCCTATTTGCACCAGCCAAATACGGAACAGGGATACTGTCTCTTGAAGTGAAATAGCCATCGACAAATTGATTGATTAGAGCTCTGTGTAGTCATTTCACTGGGAGGGATAATCATTCGTTTACCCAAGTAAAAACCTACATCTTCTGGAGAATACTGTCCAACTGTCCATTTCTGTGTGCTCTGGAGAGAGGGTTTCTACACACAAATGAAGGACAGCCCTTGTTGGGAAGACAGTCTCCATGCAACTTCTTTATGTTTATGGCAACGTCAGTATGTAAGAGGTTATTGTTGGGCGTTAAATGACATCAAAACTCCAGCACTGGCTGTAATTTGAGGGACTAGTGGTTTCTCGAATTCGGTACCTACCTATCACAGGCACTGAAGAGTCCTTTTGGACAGATCAGGAGCTTGGCACCCCATTTCTTTGTCCCATTAACAGTTGCGTACTTTGGATCTCTGAGTATGACTAACCCTTCCTCAAGCCTATTTGTGTTTTCAGCTTGATTAATATCTTGGTGTAAATGGGCTTCTGAATGATCCCTTCTGATAGCGGTTTTAAATATAGCTCGAGCTCCACACGTCTGCCATGCGGGCCCAGCTCTTCCAGGGCTCGGGGAACAGGCTAGGTTGCCAGCTATTTTTTAGGCATGAGTAGACCTCAGCCTACCTTTTTGGTTTTCTTCATTGCAGAAGAATGAGTCCATAACCTGCTAGTCACCTGTCTTTGCATCGCAGCCCTACCCTTCTTACTTTAGGTTGTGATTTTATGAGAGGCAGTGGGAGATAGCGGAAAAAGCGTGGGCTGTAAATACTCTGGGTTACGATTCTGGCTCTAGTTCTGATTTCTCCAGGTAGCCAGGGGAAATTTTATTAATTTATGAGATTATTTCCTCATTGGTAAAGTAGGGATAATACGATTTCTCTTGCAAGGCTGTCGTGATGATTCAAGATACTGTATGCTGTGTTGTTTGTATACGGTAGGTACTTAGGAAATTAATAGGCCATTAATAATAATATCAGTGAGTTAACAATATTCTTTAGAAGACACTGTTGAGGTGATTGGGCTACTTGGATCGTTCTGTGACCCTAATTCATTAACTTGCTGGTTTTGGGGTGACTGTGAAGATTCCTAATCCAGATTCCTAAAATATTAGAGCCAGAAAAGACCTTAGAATAACTTCTAGAGGAGTGTTTCTCAAATTTTAACGTGCTTCTGAACCATCCAGGAAGCTTGCTAAAACTCAGATTACAGTTTGAAAGGTCGAGAAAAGGGCCCAAGATCTGGCGTTTCTAACAAGCTCCTGATGCCTTCGGTCCCAGCTTAGAGCTGAAATGCTCTAAAGCCCTGGGCCAAACCCTGAGACCAGGGAGGGAAAGTGAAGTTTCCGAGGACTTGCTTAACTGAATCAGGAAGGCTTGCGTTCCAGTTCCAGCTCGCGACTCCAGCTTAGCCAGAACCCGGCTTCTGCTGAGACCTTGCTGGTTGTAGCACCAGTCTGGAGGCTGAAATGGAAACCCCCGTACCTAGCCGGAAACTGGGTGAGGCCTGGAGCACTTCCACCTTCCAGTCCCTCCCTCTCCCCGTAACTTGCTTTGCTCACCAAGCTTGGGAGCGCTGGCAGTGTTGCCCTCAGTGCGCGCTTCTAAAAACCTACTCAGGTTGGAGCCAGGCCTGTGCTCCGCCGATACCATTGGGCTGTGAATTCACTTGTTTGGTTTTAGGCTTTACTTCTTCAAAGATGTCCTTAGCACCACGGGAGGATAGAAAACCCACGAACTCTGAGGTCTGACACACAGATGTGCACCTGTCACTCCCCAGCTGTGTAACTTGAACAAGTCATTTCACCTGTCCAGGCCCCAGATACTCGGTTGGAATGTCAGGAACAGCGCTCTTTCTCCTGCAGGGGAGTGGTAAGCATACATGCAAACATGAAGACAATGCACCTGCAGCCCCGTGCCTGCTCATGGAAGGTGCTCAGTCATTCAACAAACACTTACGAGATGTCTGCCACGTACCAGATGCATTCCTGGGGATGGAGATAGATACATGAGTAGGACAGATGGGCGTTTCAGCTCTCAAGGATCTTCTCCAGTGAAGAGGCTACTAGGTATGCAGACAGATCAAAACACCCGGGAGAAGTGCTCTGGTTGAGAGACGCTCAATAAAAGAGAAATGAAAGCTGTCCGCTGTGTGTGTGACACCACAGACGCTTCTACAGCAACCTTTGCGGAGGATGTGGCAGTGAAACAGACAGAGCAGGGGTGGGCGCCTGACGCCCTTAATCCCACATTCCAATAAACGCTTGACATTTGAGAGAGAGCCTGTTGACATCTTAATGATCTAGAAGAATCCCCACCTCTGTGACTACCACTACAGTACATCCTTAGAATTACGGCCTTCTGCAAACAATAACAAAACCTCGTGGAGATACAGGGGTGTGCTGATGGCCCGTTCGTCTCACTCCCTAAACCTGCATCTGCTCCTGTATCCCAGACTCAGGGGTTTTTCTGCAGAATAACAGAATATTGCAGCTCACAGATCTTTGGGATCTCTCTCTCAGAATAGTCAGAATCTCCAATGTCAAAGAGGCAAAGGCCAAAATCTAGCACAATTAAATGGCATAGGCCTCTGTAGAAGAGAATAGCGTATTAGCTCTGCCTCATAGCTTCCCGTCCAATTAGAATGTTAAAGCCTGAAAGTATCTGACCTCCAGCTGTTCTAAATTATGAAGCTGAGATTCAGAGAGGGAAAGTGACTTGTCCGATATCACACAGCTAGACAGGTTAGAAAGTTAGAGCTGGTGAGGTCTTTTTGGAGCCTACTGATTTAACATCCCCCCCCTCCCGGTTTGGACTTTCTTATTTTTAACCATCGGAACAATGTTAACTTTGGAAAGGTGCTCGGGAAGTACAGATCCAATGGTATGACATGACTAATATCCTAACTTAGAATAATAACATATTATGGACTATTTTTAATCTCTTGGCTCACCTTGAGACTGTTCAGGAAGAAAAATATTGAACCCATAGAAATTTAAAAAAAAAAACAACCAACCACTGTCTTCGTGATCTCTTCCTGAGAAAAGGTGTGACAAGCATAGCTGGGATGTCTTTTAGACAGTGCTGGTAACTTGGAGACGGGACCTCGTTCCATGAAATAATGACATTCTTTCGAAATTCTGCAGGCCATTCTCTTCCAGGTGTGCTTTCTCTGTAAAGTTTCCACCCCGGGGAATCTTTCCATCAAAATCTGGCATGCTCCAGGACACAGTTTGCACCTTCTCCAATTTAACTGGAACACAGTAGGCCTTTTCTTTCTCTCTGGCTCAGCAGGGTGTTTGGACAGTTACTTCCCTTGCCATCCGGGAGATTATTTGACCCTAGAATGCCCTTCTGTGCTTGAAAAGAGTCACAGGCTGCAAG